GAGCCTCCTGTTGTTGCCACGGCGGCTGCTCTGTCGTCGTTCGCGGCCTAGAGGTGTGACGCGCAGCCTGATCGCGGTTTCCACGCGTGTCGCGTCCAGGACCAGGCACGGCGCCGGCGTCCGCGGGTCGGGCCCGTGTGTGTGCTGGCCGCCGTGAGGCACGGCCCGTGGAACTCCCTCTGTGGGGTTTTCGTGGGCGATCCGGCCCATCCTCCGGGAAGGCGCCTTGGAGCCAGGCTGCCCCACGCGCGTCCCGACCCCCCCCCCCCCCCCCCCCCCGGGTGGCTCTGCCCGGCGCGTCCGTCCTGCGCTCCGCGGGCCCTCCTGCCCTGGTGCTCTCTCCTTGCCGTGCTCCTGGCGCGCGGGTGGCTGTTCCAGGGTTTGTAATACCGCGGCAAAGCTCCCGTTCCCAGCGGGGAAACCGGACGCCCTGTCCTGTGGGGCTGCCCGGCCGTCGGGGCGCCGACCCTGCCGCTTGGGCTCTTCATGCCCCCGCTCCCCACCCGCGAGGCCGGGAGGCGGCTGCTGTCTCCGTGCGGGTTCGCGTGGCTGACGGCCGCCCGCGCCCACGTCTCTGGGGCCGCCCTGGCCCGTCTTCTGTGCTCAGGACCGCGTGTGCGGTGCTCGTCCCCGTCCCGTTTGGGGTCTGGGCCCAGGAATGCTTGGTCGGCTGCACCTCGGAGTCCGGTGTCGCGGAAGGCCAGCTCTGTGGGCGTGGGTCTCCCGCCCCGTCCCTCCTGCCCCCCCACGGCGTCCTTCCCGCCGCTGCCGCTTTGCGGGTTTCTGTCTCCCTGAAACCTCGTCTCCACGAGCCGCGCCAGCTCCGGGCCTTCCCTTGAGGCCTCGTGGCTGTTGCTGACGTTGCGGATCTTCCGGAATCTTGGTCTTTCTTCCGTGTTCCATGCGTGTCTCTGTTTTGTGTCCGTTTCCCACACGGAGGCCCCAGGTTGGGGAGGTTCTCCCGTCCCCACACTCGGATGCCCCATGGGTCCCCCTTGAGCCTGAAGCAGGACGAGGGTCTTTCCGTTAGGAGTCGGTCACGGGTCTGAAATCCACGGGGGGCCCGGTTTCTGCAGCGGGGGGCCCCGTTTCCCCGTGCATCACATACGAGTGGGATCCACAGGGGGGCTGCGGGCTGCTGGGGCCAGGGGGGCAGAGCCCCTGGCTTGGGGGCCCTCCTGGTCTTGCAAAGGGTGGGGCGTGGCCTCAATTCCCTGTCTGTCTCCGATCTGCTTGCTCGCGGGTTGTGAGCAGGGGCCCCGCTTTCCTGCCCCCACTCGGGGCACCTGCCCCCAGCCGCTCGGAGCCTGGTGCCTCTGGTGGGAACGTCGGTGCCTGGGGTGTGCACGCTGCCGGGCTCTCCTGCTGCCGTGTCGCCTCCTTTCCAGAAAACAGCAGGGGGTGGGGGGCCTTAGGTGGCCTCCGGCCGTGGCCAGCCCTGGAGACCTTACTGAAACGTGAACCATGCAGCCCAGAAAACCAAGTGCTCCTGCAAATGAACAGGGCAAAGGACGAAGCAGAGGGCGGGGAACTCGGAGGCTCAGTGAGCCTGGGTTCCGGGCTCGGTCCGCTGCGCCCCTCGCAGCTTTTCTCCAGCTCCAGCGTGACACAGGAATTGAAGGCTTAGCCCCCAAAATCCCAGGAAGAGAGGCCTCCCCTGGCTCGTGGGAGTGCACGGCCCCAGTCTCCAAGTCCAAATTGGTGTCGGTTTTGCCCCCACACGAGCCCCTCGGTGCTGCCCGACGAGCCCCCGGCTTGGGAAGATCTGGATGGTGAGACACAAGGGCCCAAGGGGGGCTGACGGGCCCAGCGTGCACCGGCCGCCTGGGGAGCCGGAGAGGGCGAATTTCCCGAGCGTCTGCCAAGTGGTGCTTCTTAAGGCGTCTTTTTTTTTTTGTTTTTAGGTTCATTTAATCTGAGAGCGAGCACAAGCAGGGGAGGGGCAGAGAGAGAGAGGGAGAGAGAGGATCCTAAGCAAGCTCTGTGCTGACATCGCAGAGCCCGACACGGGGCTCAAACTCAGGAACCATGAGATCGTGATCTGAGCCCAAGTTGGATGCCTGACTGACTGCGCCCCCCCCCCCCGCCCCCCCCCGGGCACCTGAGCTGGGCTGACGACCACCCGGGTCTTGCCTGCCCCACGCCCCAGCCTCGCGCCCGGTCCCGACATCTGTGGCTCAGGCTTCTTTGTACAGAGTAACCGGCTTCAGGAATCTTCCTTCCTGCTGGGGTTGGCTGAGCTTTTCCATAAAGAGCCAGCAGCTAATCTGTTCTGTCTTTGCAGGAACAAACAGGCATGGTCACGTGTCAGTAAAACTTTATTTACCAAAAGCAGGCAGAAGGGGTTTGTGGGGGTCCCTGGGTTGCAGGATGCCACCCCAGTTTCTGGGGAATCCAGCACATGCCGTGGGCCACTGGGTCCTAACCAGCGTTGCCGCCCCGTGTCGCCAGGTGGGGACCAGGGTCTGCCAAGGGCCCCCCCCGGCCCGGCCCCCCCCCCCCCCCCAGCGCTTCCGGTCCCCTGTCCTCAGAGCAGCCCAGGCAGGTTAAGTGGCACTTCAGGCCCGAGACGTGGCCCTGGCGGGGCACCCCTACCCTCAGCTCTGTCCCATCCCGCTCCTGCTCTAGTCTGAGGCAGCCTCTTGGCCCCGTGCAGCCGAAAAGAAAAAAGGCATAAAAAAAATTGCAGTCTGACAGCAGCATTTTATTCTATTAGTACGTTTTAATTAGAACATGAACGAGGGGTGTTATGAATATTCATGACGATTATTAAAGCGTATGATTAATCACGTGCAGTGGGGGAGGGAGGGGCCGTCCCCGTTTTTGTCACCGTTAGAAGAGGGGAGGCCAGTGGCCCATGAGGGGTTTTTCCAGAAAGGACAAAACAACACCCGTTACCTCTGCCCAGAGCTCATGGGCTCTGTGGGTGCAAGTCCCTGGGCAGCGGGTCCTGGGGTGCCCCTCAGGCTGCCGGGCTTCGCGGGGGCTGGGCTGTGGGTGCCGAGGCTCTTTCCTCCGACGTGGTCTGCTGTGGTCTCGGATGTGGCCTCCCTGCTCACTGTTGCGGGGTCTGCTGCCTCCAGGGGCACGTTGTGGATGCCCCGGCGGGTGGGGGCTGCTCCAGAAGGGGTGGGTAACTGGCAAGTTGGGTGCAGAAGGAGACTGGGGCTCGGGCTGCTGGCACTGTGCCCCAGGTCGCCCTGCCTCACCGGCCGCTCTGTTCCCAGAGCCCAAGGTAGGGGTCCGGGACCTCAGGTACAGACCCTCAAACCTGGTGGCAAACGCTGGGCAGAGACCCCCGGACCGCGGGAGCCCCTGTGGGTGTGCCCCCACCCCCACCCCAGCTAAGGCAGCCCCCCACTGCAATCGCGTTGGGATTTTTTGATTAGAAAATAAAACGTATGTGGGCTATGTGAATATTCATTAGGCTGAGAGATTAATATGCACAATTATGCAAATCCAACAGCAATTAAACACCAGCTTGGGGAGAGACGATTAACACAAAGGCACCGCAGTAGGGTGAAATTTGAAAGGAGTTTCTGGTCAAGACGAGCACGGGAGGCTGGGTGGGCTGGCGGAAGGATCCGGGCTGGGGTTCCTGCAGCCTCCCGCAAAGTCCAGCTGTGTCGGGTCCCGGGGCCACTGAGGTGGTTTTCCTGGCTGAGACTTAGGGCCTGGGCACAAACCTCCACCCCGTCACCCTCCAGCCTGACTCAGGTCCTGTGGAGTAGGGTCTGTTCATACTCCTCCTGTTTACACAGGAGGGAGACTGAGGCACGTGGGGAGTGGTCCTGGGGCCAGTCTGGGGGCCCCAGACTTCTCTGCATGTGTTTGTCAGGCAGTGAGCTTTAGAGCCCCAGTCCTTAAGGGTCTGTGCCTACTGGGTGGTGCCTGGGAGTGTTAGGGGAGATAAGGGTCCCTCCCCACCCCACCCCACCCCACCCCACCCCACCCCACCGCTACAGACCCAGGCCCTCTGCCTCTCTGGCTAACTCCCCTGCACCGTCGGCCTCGGGGGTCCACCGGGCTGGCAGCAGCCCCTTGTCTCTGCCCGGACCTAACCGGGGCTCCACTCCACCCTTAAGGGGCTGCCGGCCTATGTCTGGAAGGTAGTCGGTTGCGGCTGTGCTGTTGTTTCCACCGAGGAACGCCCCCCCCCCCCCCCTGAATTGTCAGTGGTGGGAAGGGAGAGCCTCCCGCTTGCCTGAGATCAGACGTTATCTGTCACTCTTCACCCGTTCACTGACGTCCTCGTGAACCTTTCTTCAGGGTCAGGAGGGACTAAGCCTGATGCAGAGGCCCGAGTCCCTTGGGGTCAGGGCTGGGCCAGAGGGAGAAACTAGGGGCTGGAGGGAGGAGGCCCTGAGAGGGAGGGCCCTGCCCGGGGCGGGCATAGTGGCTGGGGCCTCGACGGACGGGTAGGAGTTTGCCAACAGAGGTAGCTGGTAGAATTAGTCTGAGCTGTGGGTCTGAAGGGATGCTAGTTGCCGGGATGTCGGGGGCGCTTCCCACCAGGGGCAGTTGGTTCGTGTTTTAAGATTTTATTTTTAAGAGAAAGCACACGTATGTGCACACGGGTGCGGTAGAGGGGCAGAGAGAGAGAGAGAGAGAGAGAATCTCAAGCAGGTTCCGTGCTCAGCTCAGGGCCCGATGCCGGGTTTGATCCCGGGACCATAAGGTCACGACCTGAGCCAAAATCCAGATTCAGACGCTCGACCAACTGAGCCGGCCAGGCGTCCCGTCGGCAGTTTAAATAGGGGCAGCGCTGGGGTTGGTGGGGCCAGATGGGCTTCGGCCCAGGCTGGATCAGGAAGGGCCCAGAAGACCTGCCGAGTCGAATGAAGGCTTGTCCCTGAGGCGGTGGGGACCAGAGCCACGTTTAGAATCGAGCGGCGGCGACGGGGACCGTGACTCTCTTCTCTTGCCCTGCAGGTCTCGAGGACCGACCCGGCTCGGGCTCCTGGGGCACCGGCGACCAGAACAGCTCCTCCTTTGACCCCAGCCGGGTAAGGAACCTCTGTGAGGCCTGAGACCTGGCTTTCTCCTCTCCACCGTGGGGAGTATATGGGAAACTGAGGCTCACGGGGAAGTCACGTGCCAGCCTGGTGTCCCGTGGCTTTGGGCTCAGACACGTGGGTTCAAGTCCCAAGTCGGGCACTCACTAGCCGCCTGCTTCCCCTCACGCCCGCGTGTCTCTCCACAGGCCTACGGCGAAGGCACGCACTTCCCTGAGCCCCACGACAGCCTGTCTCCGTCCACATTCCTGGGACCTGGGCTCGCGGGTGAGTGTGCCACGCGGTCCCCTCCCCCCCCCGTGCTCGAGTGTGGCCCCCGGGTGTGGCCGGCACACTCCAGGCACCGTGCTGCAGGGGGCTCTCCTGGAGCAGAGGACGCAGGTGGTTATGGCCTGGTGCCCATGGGAGAATGGGCTCGGGGGTCCCGGCGACTCACGGAGGTGGTCCCCCCCCCCCCAGAACCCAGGGGGGTACTGTCCCCTCGGTGTCCCGACTGTGGGATTGGGATGCTCACAGAAGCCCTCCGTACCGGCCCCTGGGACCCGCGGGGCCTGGGTGGACAGGTGGCCGTGCACGTCCCCACGACGGTGCGCGGCGCCTGTGGAGGGAGCGGGGGGCAGCGTCCGAGGGCACGCTGTCTGCCCGTTTCCCAGACCGGGAGGGTGGAGGCTGGCCCAGCACTGGCCTCGGGTGGCCTGTGCACCTGCCGGGACGCCGGTTCCCTTCTGCCTGTTGCTTCCTCCCGCTTCTTCCTGACGTGGGCAGTTTCCCACGGCCAGGCCTGGTCACCAGGGCCCAGAGCCCAGCTGTGTCCCAGTCCCAGCACGTGGCACCCAGGCCGCCCTGGGCTTCATGCTGTCGCTGTCAGCCTGGTCCAGCTCCGCAGTGAGGCCGCGGTCCTCCCACCCTGATGTGCGGGCCCGGCGCACAGCTTCAGGTCCCTTCTCCGGGCCCGAGGGGCTCGTGGCCACACCTCTCCAGCCTCGTCCTGCCTCCCAGGAAGCCCCTGTTTGGTGCCTGCTGTACGCAGGGCCCGGACCCCAACCCGCTCCTGTTGCAGGGGAGCTGAGAGTCTGGGAGGGAAGCCGCCTTCCTGGGCCGAGCCCAGAGCCGTGGCCTTGTTGCCCTGCTGACCCCGGGGGCACGGGAGCCAGGGCACCACCGTTCGCTCCCGGGACCGGGACAGACCCCCCCTCTGGCCTCTTGGGTCTTGGGGAGGTGGGACTGGGGACATAGCCCGTGGGGCATCCCCCCAGCAGCACCTGCTCCAGGAGCTGGGCTGAAATTGTAGTTCTGTATAAAGGAACTGGGGAACGTTCTCCTGTAGCTTGAGAGGAAATCCAGTAGTCGGCTGAGCACTTGAATCCCTCACTCACGTCAAGGCAGGTTGTGGTTTCCACTCAGTCGTCACCAGCGCCCAGCTTCAGCCTGAATCAGCTTTAAGGGGCTCGGGTCCTGATCAGCCTGGGCCTCTGCCTCCGCGAGGCCAGGTCAGTGGTAGGTCCAGGCCTCCGTTGACATCGGTACCGATGGGCAGGCTGCGTCCCCACAGGTCCGGGCCTTGCCTGCCCACACAGGGGCCGCCACACGCTCTTCAGGAGCTTGGGTGGAGCCCAGGGCCCTGGTGCTGAACCTTGCGGGTGCACGGGACCCCGGCCTGTCCCCTGGGAGCCCAGCACTCTGCGGAGTGGATGCCTCGGGACCGTGAATGGAGAAAGCGAAGGCCAAGTGCAGATCCCTGCCGTCCCCCCTCGGGGGCAGCACACGCGGGGGCCCCCAGCAGTTCACCAAATCCTCTGTAGGTCATCTTGGGACAGCGTCTCTCCAGACCTCTGCTTGTCCCCGAGCCTGACAGGGGGACCAGGGTTCCTCCAAAGCCCTGTTGGTGTTGCGCACTGATCCGGTGACTGCTCTGTGCAGGCACGTGCCTGGTGGTGGGTCAGCCGTTGGGACGCGCCATCCCCGGGGTCAGCTCCCAGTGAGTCTTTTCTCTTCCAGGCAAGGGCAGCGAGCGAAGCGCATACACTGCCTTCGGGAGAGATGCGGGTGTTGGCGGCCTGAGTCAGGTGAGGTCTGGGGCCAGGGTCCCTCTGCTGGGTCCGCTGCTGTGGAGAGTGGAGCAGGGGGCTCCCGTCACGCGTCTGCCCCACCGCCTCCTCCCCCCCCCCCCCCCGCCCCGGGGCTGTGACTGTAAACAGACGCGTCACGGACCTCTTCTCTGCAAGAGGTTCCCTGGTTGAGCCAAGAGCCGGTCGGCTGCAGTACGGCCAGACCCCGGGAGGCCAGCAGGCTGGGTGTGGACCAGGCGAGGGGGTGCCGGGGAGGCCGCGGCCCCTGTCCCGTGGCTCCCCGACCTGGGGTAGTTAGTCTATAGGGCAACAATGGTTTCGGGGGTCACCGTGCACGGCTGGAGGGTCTGAGAGACGTGTGCCACCCCCAGGTCGTGGGCAGGGACGCTGAGGCCGGCCTGCAACCCCCCCCCCCCCCCCCCCCCCCCCCGCCTCTCAGCCTGGCCCTGGGTCTCCCACAGCCTCCCAGGGAGCCCCCGGCGCAGGTGAAAGCCCCACCACGCTGACCTAGCTGAGAGGCAGGGCGGCAGTGACCAGCCCCCGTGTCCCAGTGTGGCCCCCGGCCTGGGACTCTTCCAGCTCGGTGCGGCCGGGCCTTGTCCCAGTTGGTGCCACCTGTCCGCGTGCCGTGTCCCCTCAGGAGCGGTAGCGGGTGCAGCTGTTGAGGGCCAGCCGGCTACTGGGCCCCGTGCGCCGTAGGCACAGCCAGAGTGCCCGCCGTATAGACAGGAAGGGTGAGGCGTGGAGCGGCCGCTCACCTGAGCTGCAGACCGGCTTGAACCCTGGTCGTTTCTGCCCTTGAGGAAAGGAAGTCTGTTTAACACACGCAAAACGAAGCCGAAGCCGGGTACCTTTAAAAAAACAAAAAACGCGCAGAGCGAAGCCACCAGGTTTCTCTGACGCCTCGACGCCCGGCGACCTAGAAGGGCCGCGGTTTGCTGGCGGCTTTTCTTTCTCCCTCTTGGGAAAGAGCCTGAGGCTTACGGTCGCTCACATCTCAGATCAGAGAAACGGGACCGGTGTCGGGAGGGGACCGTGCCGAGCAGGGCAGGAAGGGGCTCCGCTGAGGGCCGCCGGCACCCCTCGGGCGGCTCCGAGCAGCGGGGCCAGATGCTGGCCCGGCGCCCCACGATGACCTCTCCCTCTCGTTCCCCCCAGGCTGGCTTCCTGCCCAGCGAGCTGGCCCTCAGCAGCCCGGGGCCACTGTCCCCTTCGGGCACCAAGGGCGGCTCCCAGTATTACTCCTACGCAGGCCACCCTCGGCGGAGAGCCGCGGAGAGCGGACTGGGTGAGTGGGGACCCCGCCACCCCCACCCCCACCCCCCCCCCCCCCCCCCTTGCTGCTGGTGGGGCCTGGCTGGAGGGACGGGTGGTAGCGGGGAAGGAGCGGGTGCGTTCGGGCCCCGCGTTGGGAGCGTCTGCCCCGGGCACGCCTCGTGCAGGGTCTCCTCCTGGTCCTTTGGCGCTCAGCTCTGGGCCAGCAGCCCCGTGACCCGCCCGGTGCGGGTTTTCCCTGCCACCACATCGTGGCCTTGTCACGCTTGGGGACACCGGCCTGCACCGCGGCACCGTGCTTGGGGACGCTTTAAATGGCGGCAGGACCCACGAGACCCAAAGATGCAAGGCTCCGGGCACTCAGTCGGCCGTGAGGAGGACCTGGTTTCCAGAAGCAGGGCACTGCCCGGTTCCTCCTCGGCTGGGCCACGTGTGTTGGTGGCTCACGCTGTCCCTGTGGTTTGCGTGCCCGAGTGGCCACATGAGCCCTGCACGTAGAGATTTTGGGTCCCTGAGTTGGGCAGTAGGCGAGTTTGCAAGGGCGGGAGCCAGGAAGGTGGCAGGGAGGGACGGAGCAGAGACCTGGGCACGTGGTGGGGGTAGGAGGCGCCCTGAGGACCCCTGATTCCCCTTGCTCCTGACAGACACACAGCCCAAGAAGGTACGGAAGGTGCCGCCAGGTCTCCCGTCTTCGGTGAGTCGCGGGGTCCCACGTGCCACGTTCCCGGGCTCGGGGTTGTCCCTCTGGGGGTCCACCGCACGTCAGCGGGGGGGAGGGGGTGGCCCCCAGGCTGGAGGTCGTAGCTGTGACAGCTGGTATGCAGGAATCCAGGACATTGTTTCTCGGGTCTAGCTTGGATTCCTCCTGTAAGAGCCACGTGGCACTTGTGGGCAAGGCACCTTGGGTTGAGTGTGATGGGGTCTCGGGGGCACCCTGGGGGCCCAGGTCAGAGAGTCCCCGCCCTGCCGCCTGGCGATTGGCAGGGGGCCACGCTCTGGCAACGGACTCCCTGGAACAAACGGCAATCTGCTGGGGTGTCTGGCTCCTGCACCGGCGTCCGGGAGCCCCTGGGCCCCCTAGGCTGGGCACAGCCCCCGTAGGCCAACGCAGGTTGCACCAGACCCCGGGGTCAGGGTCACAGGGTTGGCGCTCTGGTCTGCAGCTGGGAGGTGTGGGTCAAGCTCCTTTGAGACCTCAACCCCCGCTTTCCCCATCGGAGCCCCCGCCCTGGTTTCCTGGGACATCAGAGCTGAGAGCCCCCTGAGCCTGACTCGACCCGGCCCACCCCACCGGCACTGACCCCACTTCCACTCCAGGGCCAGGGCGGGCGTTTCCAGCCGACCCGGGGCTTTCCTGCCAGCCTGGCCTCCGCCTCAAGCAGTGTTCCTCCGACGTCAGCATGACCCTAGGGCTTACTTTGCCTTCTTGGCGCTCTGGAACCAAGGGCCGGGTGTTAGTCCAGGGCCCCGCCTCCGAGGCCCCCACATCTTCTGTGATCAGGGCTGCGGCCTTGGGGGGGCTCCGGTGCAGGGGGCTGAGGAAGAAGGAAGGGCTGGGGGCATCACAGCCAGGTTCTGCTCTGATGGACCGAGAGCATCTTCCGGACTGAGGGGGGGGGGGGGGGGGTTGCCGGGCGGGGGGTCCCGCCTGCAAAGACCTCAGGTGCCAGAGCCCGCACCTTCGGGGCCGTGGGGGGGGGGGACAGGAGGGGGGGAGGGGAGGAACTAGAGGAGTAAGGGCGCCACCAGAGCCTCCAGTGCTAGGGAAGGTCAGCTGCACAGAGGGGTGGGGTGTCCTCCCCCCACCCCACCTGACCGTACCCACCTGCCCACAGGTGTACCCGTCCAGCTCAGGTGACGACTACGGCAGGGACACCGCCGCCTACCCAACCGCCAAGACCCCTGGCGGCACCTACCCTACCCCCTTCTACACGGCAGGTACGTGGGGGCTCGCCTGAGGGGGCCGGGGCCGGGCCGGGG